GGGAAAACATCAGCAATAATCACCGTCGCCAGAGGCCCAGAGAGTGCGATCTGACGGAGACAGTTCCCCGTCAGAGTGTCTCTGACAGGTGAGAGCTGTGGGAGCTTTGATAAGAGTCTCAAAGCAACTGGTGTGATCAATCGGCTGGATGGATTCACTCAGAGAGGAGAGACTACGGCGTCAAAATCAAACGTCTCCATCGAATAACAACTTTTTCATCTCCAAACATCCAACAGGAGGACAACATGATACTGCATGTACAACTTGTCAGGTGATGGGTGAAATGAAAAGAGTGTATGCTATATGTTTCCTGATCGCTCCTGCTTTAATGTTCCTTATACTAAATAAATATTCAATACAATATATGAAACATTACAAGTGGAGGAAGTATTCCTTACCTTCGTAAAGTAACAAATACCACACTGCAAAATGTTCCTTAATCAAAACGCTCTATTATGCTATTTGTTGTAGTCCTTCCTGTAGTGTTTGTGTGCATGTAAATGGTCTGCAAAGAGTTTCCCTCCCACACACTATCTATTGGCTAGCGCTCCAACAAATGATAGGCTAAGTGGCAGGACATCTCTAAGCGGTTGACCAATCACAACAGAGCTGACCAGCTAACTAATCAGAGCGGACTGGGCTCTGGTTTCAGACAGAGGGCGAAAAGAGGTGCTGCAGCACAGGCAGTATGAGGAAAATAAAGAGCTTTTTGAACATTAAATCATGGAGACATGTAGAGACACTACATACTGATATACACCTGAACATCAGCAGGAGAGGACTCTTTAAAGTAGAGACACTACATACTGATATACACCTGAACATCAGCAGCGAGAGGACTCTTTAAAGTAGAGACACTACATACTGACATACACCTGAACATCAGCAGGAGAGGAACTCTTTAAAGTAGAGACACTACATACTGATATACACCTGAACATCAGCAGGAGAGGACTCTTTAAAGTAGAGACACTACATACTGATATACACCTGAACATCAGCAGGAGAGGACTCTTTAAAGTAGAGACATTACACACTGATACACACCTGAACATCAGCAGGAGAGGACTCTTTAAAGTAGAGACACTACATACTGATATACACCTGAACATCAGCAGGAGAGGACTCTTTAAAGTAGAGACACTACAACTGATATACACCTGAACATCAGCAGGAGAGGACTCTTTAAAGTAGAGACACTACATACTGATATACACCTGAACATCAGCAGGAGAGGACTCTTTAAAGTAGAGACACTACATACTGATATACACCTGAACATCAGCAGGAGAGGACTCTTTAAGTAGAGACACTACATACTGATATACACCCTGAACATCAGCAGGAGAGGACTCTTTAAAGTAAGTAACTAAACATACTGATATTACCTGAAACATCAGCGGAAGGACTCTTTAAATAAGTACTACATACTGATATCACCTGACACAGCAGGAGAGGACTCTTACAGTAGAGACCTACATACTGATATACACCTGACATCAGCAGAGAGGACTCTTTAAGTAGAGACACTACATACTGATATACACCTGAACATCAGCAGGAGAGGACCTCTTTTAAAGTAGAGACAATAACATACTGATATACAACCCTGAAACATCAGCAGGAGAGGACTCTTTAAAGTAGAGACACTACATACTGATATACACCTGAACATCAGCAGGAGAGGACTCTTAAAGTAGAGACACTACATACTGATATACACCTGAACATCAGCAGGAGAGGACTCTTTAAAGTAGAGACACTACATACTGATATACACCTGAACATCAGCAGGAGAGGACTCTTTAAAGTAGAGACACTACATACTGATATACACCTGAACATCAGCAGGAAGAGGACTCTTTTAAAGTAGAGACACTACAACTAATGATATACACCTGAACATCAGCAGGAGAGGACCTCTTTAAAGTAGAGACACTACATACTGATATACACCTGAACATCCAGCAGGAGAGGACTCTTTAAAGTAGAGACACTACATACTGATATACACCTGAACATATCAGTGGAGAGGACTCTTTAAAGTAGAGACACTACATACTGATATACACCTGAACATCAGCAGGAGAGGACTCTTTAAAGTAGAGACACTACATACTGATATACACCTGAGCATCAGCAGGAGAGGACTCTTTAAAAGTAGAGACACTACATACTGATATACACCTGAACATCAGCAGGAGAGGACTCTTAAAGTAGAGACACCTACCTATGATATACCTCCTGAACATCAGCAGGGAGAGGACTCTTTAAAGTAGAGACACTACACTACTGATATACACCTGAACATCAGCAGGAGAGGACTCTTTAAAGTAGAGACACTACATACTGATATACACCTGAACATCAGCAGGAGAGGACTCTTTAAAGTAGAGACACTACATACTGATATACACCTAAACATCAGCAGGAGAGGACTCTTTAAAGTAGAGACACTACACACTGATATACACCTGAACATCAGCAGGAGAGGACTCTTTAAAGTAGTGACACTACATACTGATATACACCTGAACATCAGCAGGAGAGGACTCTTTAAAGTAGAGACACTACATACTGATATACACCTGAACATCAGCAGGAGAGGACTCTTTAAAGTAGAGTTACTACATACTGATATACACCTGAACATCAGCAGGAGAGGACTCTTTAAAGTAGAGTTACTACATACTGATATACACCTGAACATCAGCAGGAGAGGACTCTTTAAAGTAGAGACACTACATACTGATATACACCTGAACATCAGCAGGAGAGGACTCTTTAAGTAGAGACACTACATACTGATATACACCTGAACATCAGCAGGAGAGGACTCTTTAAAGTAGAGACACTACATACTGATATACACCTGAACATCAGCAGGAGAGGACTCTTTAAAGTAGAGACACTACATACTGATATACACCTGAACATCAGCAGGAGAGGACTCTTTAAAGTAGAGATACTACATACTGATATACACCTGAACATCAGCAGGAAAGGACTCTTTAAAGTAGAGACACTACACACTGATATACACCTGAACATCAGCAGGAGAGGACTCTTTAAAGTAGAGACACTACATACTGATATACACCTGAACATCAGCTGGAGAGGACTCTTTAAAGTAGAGACACTACATACTGATATACACCTGAACATCAGCAGGAGAGGACTCTTTAAAGTAGAGACACTACATACTGATATACACCTGAGCATCAGCAGGAGAGGACTCTTTAAAGTAGAGACACTACATACTGATATACACCTGAACATCAGCAGGAGAGGACTCTTTAAAGTAGAGACACCACATACTGATATACACCTGAACATCAGCAGGAGAGGACTCTTTAAAGTAGAGACACTACACACTGATATACACCTGAACATCAGCAGGAGAGGACTCTTTAAAGTAGAGACATTACATACTGATATACACCTGAACATCAGCAGGAGAGGACTCTTTAAAGTAGAGACACTACATACTGATATACACCTAAACATCAGCAGGAGAGGACTCTTTAAAGTAGAGACACTACACACTGATATACACCTGAACATCAGCAGGAGAGGACTCTTTAAAGTAGTGACACTACATACTGATATACACCTGAACATCAGCAGGAGAGGACTCTTTAAAGTAGAGACACTACACTACATACACATATAAAACCTTAAAATGAGCATAATATGTCCTCTTTAATCCTGCCCGGTGCCAGAATCTCTAAATATGTCCTCCTGGGTCATTAGGCTGATTTAAAAACATACCAAAGTAAGCTTGTTTTAATAACTCATGGATGTACATTTAGATTGTAATGACCCGGTACTACAGGTGAAATACTGCCCCCTATGTCGTTGAAGAAGGTGGTACAGAACAACTCATTGCACCTTAAAATAATTAATATTTTTCGTATCTCTGGGATTAACTAGGTTCTTATTTGTATGTGTGCACTCAATTCAATCTAAAATACTGCCTGAATTCAATTGTTTTTGTTATTTGATTACCAAGTCTTTATTTGTTTTTTTTTACACAAAGCTGTCCTCACTTGTAACAACTTTTACTTGGTCCTCACAAAGCATGAATACGGGAATTCACACACACACCATCCTCTCCACATGCTCGCAGTTTCAAAACTTGTATTCACAGCAGGTTGATTGACAGGTGAGAAGGATCGCAGGTGACCTCTCATCGTGTGAGAGACATCAGAGCGCTTAGAAGTCAGAGTGCAAGTAAACACACCATGAAGGGGAGAAGAGAGCGAGACAGAGAGGAGCGACCCTGAAGGCATCATCGCTCAGCAGGAAACAAACAACTGATTAACAAAATGCTCAAGCAATAATTCATTAATTCATATTAAATGTATGTCCTTTCATTTATGTAGAATGTTCAACTACCTTATGACTTTTGATTATTAAGAGTTATAATTTATAATACGTTTTCTTAAACAATTCCTTTATGCTGTGATAATAATAACTATTACAATATATTAGTCATAACATTACACACACACACACACACACACACACACACACACACACACACACACACACACACACACAACACACACACACACACACACCACATCACACACCAGAACACAACACACCACACACACACACACACACACACACACACACACACACCGCATCGGTCTTGCAGCCAGTAGATGGATTCTACACGTGGGATTGTAAACAGTGTGATGTCAGTTAGTGATGAAAGAGAGAAAGAGAGAGAGAGAGAGAGTGTGTGTGGTGTGTTTTGTGTGTGTGTGGTGTGTGTGTGTGTGTGTGTGTGTGTGTGTGTGTGTGTGTGTGTTTGTGCGAGAGACGGAGAGAGGAGAGAGAGAGAGAGAGAGAGAAGAAGAGATAGAGAGAGAGCGACGAGAGAGAGAGAGAGAGAGAGAGAGAGAGAGAGAGAGAGAGAGAGACTGCAGATCGCGGTAAAATCTTCAGAACCGGAGGCAGCAGCTGCACCTCCTCCTCCTCTTCCTCATCAACTCTCCTCCAGCGTGCAGACAGGCACCGAGCAGCCGGTCTGCGGGACATCAATCCCGGCTGGAACTAGTGCAACATGCCCGCTGATCGTCAGCTACACTCGGTGTCGTTTCTTCCACTTGTGGTGGGAATTACGCGGACTGAGACTCCCGGTGGATCTCTATTTATGTGAAGCAACTGCCCGATCATTTCTTCTTCTTCTATTTAAATCTGTCCACCCTGCTGATGTCAAGTCGGATGGTTCCTAAAGATGATCTGGATATGCACCATGTCTTTAACTAAGGACGGACTTTTACTGCTTTAAGAAAAAGAAAATGTGCAACAAAACAGACTTCATCCATAATAACTGTTTTTCATTAAAAGCAGCATTGCCGTGTTGTTGCATGTTTAACTTCATTTATAAAGTCTCGCTTTGATGATAAGTAATCACGGTGTCGCTTCTCTTCACTTCTGGGGGGATTTTGGAGACTCTTGAGGACTGGGACAGGGACACTCCACATCCGGAGCAGATTTTGTGTTTTTGAAGAACATGCTGAGGTGGAGGGGAAGCACAAACCTCTGCTGCGTTTACCCTCCTGTGTTCTGTGTCTACTTTCATCAGTCCTAAATATTTGGACGCTTCAAGGCCCTCCACAATTTGCATTTGAACATATTCAATGGCTGATCACCACTTCCATTGAATTATGAGTGGGTTAGTCAACTTTGTAACACCTATGATGTTTCCGGTCAACAATGAACACCATATGAAATGAATACGTAACCCTGGATGATGATCTTCCATCAGACGGTAAACACTCACAGTCACAGATCAGAACATGTTCATTTTACATTTCCAGTGTCTATCCTTTGTATATTCACTGCAGTTATTCCTGTAAACCAGTAGTCTGAGACATTGTTTACAGCTTATTAAATATAATTTGGTGATGATTACTAGATGTTGTGTTAATGTAAGAGCAGTTAAAACAGACCGGTGACATTTGACCGAGAACACCAAAGAAAAGGGGTGAAGCGTATACGACAGGACGGTTGAAAAGCCTCCCCCGCTGTGGATTTGTAACATCTGGCACCTGGAGATGCCACCTGTCTCGGGGATGGATGAGCTGCAGTGAGGAGGCTCCAGGATATTCACAGTTTGGACTTTTTGGACAGAGTTTCTCCCTCATGCAGCTCCTCCGGCTGGCCTGGGCTCTGACTGCCGTCGCGGCCTGCTTCCTGATCCTCCTGATCCTCCACAACCACATCCTCAGAGAAGGTACGCCTGTGTGTGTGTGTGTGTGTGTGTGTGTGTGTGTGTGTGTGTGTGTGTGTGTGTGTGTGTGTTGTGTGTGTGTGTGTGTGTGTGTGTGTGTGTGTGTGTGTGTGTGGGTGTGAGCACTGAAAAGTTTAGTTCATAAATGTAATAATCATCAACTGTTTTGAGGTTTTTCTCTCTAGTTTGAGCGTCAGTATAACACACTGCTTTTCTCCGTTGTACATATAATTGTAAGAAAAACATACATCCCTCTCATTCAATAACTGGCCTTCCAGTACAATTGGTCTAGAACCTCCATTGCCTTAAATGTGACACAAAGTTTGACCTTGCACACACACACACATACACACACACACACACACACACACACACACATACACATACACACACACACACACACACACATATATACACAATCACACTGAAAAAATTTAAACGCGTTGACTTTAATTAAATGCACTACGTCAAAAGATTACCCGTATGAGGTTAACTGAAAGCAATAATATTACGTTTAAATGAAAAATATTAGGTTTAACTCGATATTATTATAATATATTAACCAAATACAGTTATGTGACATTTGATGACGTAATACTTCAATTTAAGTCAACGCTTTTACCTTTTTTTCTGTGTGTGTGTATTTGTGTGATTACGTGTACAACGGAGAAAAAGCAGTGTAATATACAGAGGCTCAAACTAGAGAATAGAAACCTTAAAACGGTTGATGATTAATCCATTTATCATCTAAACTGTATACCTGTGAACGAACGAATGCATGCTGTAGGAGCCAACATGCTAAGTTAACCTGTCGTTATTGCTTCCTTATTCTCATCATTTGTTAACAGCACACACATTGGTGATTGATCATCTCTGGTAATTGTCACATGGGTGTGGTTAATGGCATTTAGGTAGTATGACAATGGGCGTGAGCTTAGCTGTGGGATCTTTTGTTGACTCTACGGTTCTGCTTGGTTATTGTCTGTTCATCTGTTTTATTTAATATCCTTAACTTCAGTACGGAGTTTATTATAAAGACACGTCACAGAGATGAGCCAAGTTTAACCTCTGACCGGCTGCATTCATTGGGAACAAAGCCGCCACACATGCCTTACATTTCCCTTGCCATATACTGTCTACCTATCAGTGGCTGACTGGCCATCGGTACTGAAGTGGGCCGGTCGGACGATGTGGGCCGCCCCCGTCGACAATTTACTGCCGGTTTTTACTAGCGGTACCGAAGTGGGCCGGTCGAGAGACCCGGGCTGATTTTTGTCCCAGTCCGCCCCTGATACCTATATATATATATATATATATCACGTTATACTGCCGCTCTCCATCCCCCTGAAACCCCCCCTCTACACCTGCACACCTGCTCACTCTCTCCCCGTCGACTCACTCCCTCTCAGCAGACTGTCGGCCATCTGTTCAGCCGCTTTGACTTGTAGCTTCTCGCCCACCAGACTGTTTACCCTCCGCCTGACCCTGTTTATTTCGCCTGCATGCTGGAGGATATATTCAGATGTTTTACTGCATTTAAATTACTAATACACCACTTAGGAAAACCCAAAGGAAAGGGAAAGTCCTGGATTCAAAACCAATACAAGTTAAAGTGAGTTTTATCAACCAAATGTACTTTTCTATTATGTGTGATTTTTCTTGATTTATAATGAATTGATGTTGTGTGTTATGGCCTGGACGTTTTAACTAACAATAATAATACATGATACTTGTATAGCGCTTTTCTAGAAACTCAAAGACACTTTGACAGAGAATTACAAAAAACAACAACAAAAAGAGATAAACAAAACAGAAAATAGGGGGGGGTCAGTGGTTGGATGCAGTGTTGAACAGGTGGGTTTTGAGTGATGTTTTGAATATTGTGAGGGAGGAAGAATCTCTAATGGATTGGGGTAGTGAGTTCCAGAGGGCGGGTGCAGCAACGGAGAAGGCTCTGCCGCTCCACTGTTGGGTAGTTTATACTACAGCAATGCATCTTATTCTTTAAGATCATCATATGTTTGTTTTTTCGACATTTTTGGCTAAACTTTCAGAAATGTTCAGTCATTGTTCTTTCTACGAACAGTTTTCACACCCATTTTTTCACAAAGCTATCTGAACATTTTTGGACCAGTTTTCAGACTTTCTACATTTATTGTTCCAGAGTTTTCACACATTTCTCAATTGTTGTTTAAACTTGTGCTTCTATTGGCTAGTGCTCCAACACATTGTACGTGATAGGCTAAGGGGCGGGACATCTCTAAGCGGTTGCCCAATCACAACAAAGCCGGCCAGCTAACCAATCAGAGCAGACTGGGCTCTGGTTTCAGACAGAGGGTGAAAAGAGGTGCAGCAGCACAGACAGTATGAGAACAATAAAGAGCTTTTTGAACATTAAAGCATGAAGACATGTAGAGACACTACATACTGATATACACCTGAACATCAGCAGGAGAGGACTCTTTAAAGTAGAGACACTACATACTGATATACACCTGAACATCAGCAGGAGAGGACTCTTTAAAGTAGAGACACTACATACTGATATACACCTGAACATCAGCAGGAGAGGACTCTTTAAAGTAGAGACACTGCATACTGATATACACCTGAACATCAGCAGGAGAGGACTCTTTAAAGTAGAGACACTACATACTGATATACACCTGAACATCAGCAGGAGAGGACTCTTTAAAGTAGAGACACTACATACTGATATACACCTGAACATCAGCAGGAGAGGACTCTTTAAAGTAGAGACATTACATACTGATATACACCTGAACATCAGCAGGAGAGGACTCTTTAAAGTAGAGACACTACATACTGATATACACCTGAACATCAGCAGGAGAGGACTCTTTAAAGTAGAGACACTACATGCTGATATACACCTGAACATCAGCAGGAGAGGACTCTTTAAAGTAGAGACATTACATACTGATATACACCTGAACATCAGCAGGAGAGGACTCTTTAAAGTAGAGACACTACATACTGATATACACCTGAACATCAGCAGGAGAGGACTCTTTAAAGTAGATACACTACATACTGATATACACCTGAACATCAGCAGGAGAGGACTCGTTAAAGTAGAGACACTACATACTGATATACACCTGAACATCAGCAGGAGAGGACTCTTTAAAGTAGAGACACTACATACTGATATACACCTGAACATCAGCAGGAGAGGACTCTTTAAAGTAGAGAACACTACACACTGATATACACCTGAACATCAGCAGGAGAGGACTCTTTAAAGTAGAGACACTACATACTGATATACACCTGAACATCAGCAGGAGAGGACTCTTTAAAGTAGAGACACTACATACTGATTATACACCTGAACATCAGCAGGAGAGGACTCTTTAAAGTAGAGCCACTACATACTGATATACACCTGAACATCAGCAGGATGAGAACTCTTTAAGTAGAGACACTACATACTGATATACACCTGAACATCAGCAGGAGAGGACTCTTTTAAAGTAGAGACACTACATACTGATAATAGCAGGCGGGTGACATCCACGAAATCAGCAGGAGAGGACTCTTTAAAGTAGAGACACTACATACTGATATACACCTGAACATCAGCAGGAGAGGACTCTTTAAGTAGAGACCACTACATACTGATATACACCTGAACATCAGCACGAGAGGACTCTTTAAGTAGAGACACTACATACTGATATACACCTGAACATCAGCAGGAGATAACTCTTTAAAGTAGAGACACTACATACTGATATACACCTGAACATCAAGCAGGAGAGGACTCTTTAAAGTAGAGACACTACATACTGATATACACCTGAACATCAGCAGGAGAGGACTCTTTAAAGTAGAGACACTACATACTGATATACACCTGAACATCAGCAGGAGAGGACTCTTTAAAGTAGAGACACTACATACTGATATACACCTGAACATCAGCAGGAGAGGACTCTTTAAAGTAGAGACACTACATACTGATATACACCTGAACATCAGCAGGAGAGGACTCTTTAAAGTAGAGACACTACATACTGATATACACCTGAACATCAGCAGGAGAGGACTCTTTAAAGTAGAGACACTACATACTGATATACACCTAAACATCAGCAGGAGAGAACTCTTTAAAGTAGAGACACTACATACTGATATACACCTGAACATCAGCAGGAGAGGACTCTTTAAAGTAGAGACACTACATACTGATATACACCTGAACATCAGCAGGAGAGGACTCTTTAAAGTAGAGACACTACATACTGATATACACCTGAACATCAGCAGGAGAGGACTCTTTAAAGTAGAGACACTACATACTTGATATACACCTGAACATCAGCAGGAGAGGACTCTTTAAAGTAGAGACACTACATACTGATATACACCTGAACATCAGCAGGAGAGGACTCTTTAAAGTAGAGACACTACATACTGATATACACCTGAACATCAGCAGGAGAGGACTCTTTAAAGTAGAGACACTACACTCTAATATGAACCTACAGATGAACAGAACATGTCCTCTTTAGAGCAGATTTATTCTTCAACGAAAAAATAAGCAGAAACTCCGCAGTTTTTGACTGCTGCTTCTGCTTCCCCTCGCATGCAGATGTTGAGATAATCAGATCGTCCTCTGCAGAACCAAGACAATCATAAAATCCAGCAGCTGTTAGGAGAAATGTCGAAGTCTCATCTGAGCAGAGTTTGATTGAAGTCGGTCAGGTTTAAAACAGGTCAGTAAACGACTTGTCCCTCTCTTGATGAATCACATGAACGGTTCATCATATATATTTTAATGTTACACAACCCGTCATGTTAACAAATGTGCTTAGATATACAGTTAGGAATCTGGTTTAGAAGTGTGCCTCCACTTCATCGGTCATCTCAGTGAGCAAAGCTTTAATGAGCAGTGACTGCAGACTGGATGTCCCTGACGCTCTCTGTTTCCACTCTCTTTTCTTTTTCTCTGCCTGCTCATAAAGCTCTGATAGATC